ACCACTGCCACTAAGGACATACTAAAATTCATTTCCAATCTGTCATTATCCTAGCTTTCATTGTAAAATATAGTACTTTTTTTGTATCTTGTTGAGTTTTGATTAATTTGCTGATTTCATGGATCTTTACTTTTGAACATTACTTTATTATTTCTGCAATCACCTCACTTCCAACTTTCATGCAGCAGAATAACTTTCATGCTTTAAGATCTTTAATTCTGAAAGAGTTTGTCAAGCAATCACTCTTTCTACTTTAGAGTGAGTAGCTAAACTAGTAGGCTAGAATGTGTGATTCTGAAAGACAATGGTCCATTGGATTAAATTTATACATGACTCAAAGCATAGTCCAATACTTAATGGATAAAAGAATTGCATCATTCGTTCCAGTTATTTTTAACTATTTCTTTTATTTTTTGAGTTTCTAACAGAAACACATCATTTCCCCTTCTCTTTCCTTCCTGCAAGCCATCCCTTATATCCTCTTTATGTCTTTAAACTATGTCCTCATTATTATTTCATTAATTATTGTTATATAAAATTACATATATATATTTAAATGTTACTTGTATCTTTGTTTTTAGGGCTGACCATTTGGTACTGGATAACCAACTGATATGCCCTTCCCTGGGAAACAGTATTTATCTGCTCTCAGTATTCATTAGTTGCCTGTAGTTCTATATCTAATATTGAGGTGTCCTGGTCTTTATCCCATTCACTTTATAATGTTTATTGTTGTTGACCTTTCTCTGTTTAATTTAGGAAGTTATGTTGTTGAGAGTTCATGAGTGTATCATTTGACATTAGTAGGAGACAGAATATTACAGCAAGCTCACTAATCTTCTGACTCTTAATTTTTTTTCTTTCCTGTCTTCCATAATGTTCCCTGAGTCATAAGTATGGAAACTGCTTTGTAAATACATCCTTTGGGGCTAGCTTCTAGAACTCTGCATTTTGTTTCATTGTAGTTTTCTATAATGGTCCCCATTTGTTGTAAAGAGCAGTTTTTGATGATGGGTGAGAACTAAACTTTCCTGTGAGTATAACAACAAATATTTAGAATGTTTTTAGAGGATTATGCTAGCTGTAGGTTCTCCATGATGTCACTAGCCCTTGGTAGATGGCTAAATTTCCAATACCAGTCATAATTTTCTTTTAGCCGAGCTGGTCTTAAGTCTAATTAGAGAGGTATTTATTGCCACAAAGGTATGGCTGCCCCTATGGTAGCCATAGGATTATCCTGTCATGCATGTCATTGCTGTGGTACATAGTATCATGGTTTCGAAAAACTGTTGGTTGCTTTCTTCCTTTTGGAAACTTGTGATACCATGAAAGCTAGTCCTTGTGTAGGAGGATTTTAGGTCCGTTTCAGATCAAGGGCCTCTGGATCCTGTGTGTGAAGTGCATGGTGTCTTTAGCAATATGGCCTTACCTTCCATGTCTTTGAGTCAACCAAGAGCAACAGCAATGACCTATAATATTTGTGGAGTCTCTTGGAAAGCCCTCACCAACAACTCAAGTGAGGATGTTCCATGTATGCTGCTGTTTTTTGTTGTTGTTATCTTTGGCTCTTGGAGGAAACATTGTCAGTCCAGATGAGAAAATTTCATTTAAACTACTCATCCATACCTATACAAAGTCTTATAATTTGCCTTCTGTTTTTTGCACATATGTCCTTAATAGCTAGAATCTTTATGGCATTTCCAGAAACCCTTACTGTTATTTTGTCCATTTCTACTTCTGCATTTATCATACCTCTCTTCCTTTTTAGGGCACCCACATTCTTTCCATTTCCCATGCCAGATTTTTTAAGTAACAGCACCTCAAAAGCATTACAGATTTTGATCTATACTTTCTCAAATTTACTTGGTATTTAAGATTTTACTTAATATAAAATTTCCTTAATATTAAAACTTCAGAGCCATGTCAGCAATGGTAAATGTTCAGGAAAAACTTTCCTAGGTATGCATCAGCTGCCAGCCATGTGAGGTTAGTAGGAAGACTGCCTTTTATAGGTAATCGGTCTTCAAAGATACCACATATTTCAGAGCTATTAGGTTTCAATGAAACCTGGGACAAATGGCTGGGGAACCAGGACTCTGCAACAGGTATTGGTAATGTAGAGAGAAACTGGAGGCCAAAATCCTACCTCTCAGGTAGCCATTTGTCCCTGGGTTCCTGGAGACCTATGAAGCACCTTTATCCTAATCCTAGACTATCTAGTTTCTAAAATCATAAAAAGAAATAAATTTCTATTGTAAAAGCAGCACCCAGTCTATCTGTGTTGTTAAAGTAGTCTTAACGTACCAGAAAAAAATGTCTTATAAATAAGTCAATGTTCTCTAAATAAGTCTCAGAAAAAGTATTTTGCCTTTCAGCATCATGTTTCAGATTTGGAGATTTAATACTCTGAACTAAGAACATAAATCAGCAAAGTTGCAAGTTTTTAATACTCGTAGAAAAGACCACTGTGGCTTTGCTGAGTTGGTTATAGTATTTCTTTGTGACCAAACTAGATATCTCCACTGGACAAATGGTAGAGTAAGCATTCTGTGCTGATACCATACATCAAGCCGTCTTCCACTTTCAGTCAAACAGCAGCTCAACCACTCCAGCAAAGATGCCGAGAAGGCTAATTCTAAAGTTTTCATTAAAGGTCAGGCAATCCATGCCTTGCTCATTCATCAAAAGTGGGACTCCTGAGGTCTCCCCGCTGAATAATTGTGGAATAAAGGATTAAAATACACATAAACTATCTAAATGGAAATACAGTGATCACTTACACAGCACTCTCTCTCAATTCTCTGTAAATTCAAATGTACACCAAAAGGTACAGATACATTTTGAAAGGAGGAAAATACTCATAATCTTGCCAACTGAGCAAGATCATTTTAGTAATATATCCAAAGCATGCAGAACTAAAACTAATTTTCATAAATACTTTATTCTTTCTAAGTTTACTCCAGTTGAGTAGTGCCAATTAAATTGCATTTATCAGAGTATTTTGACTAAAGAATAGTCTTCAAATTGAAGAATTAAAAGTATATTACACCAATTAAGAAATTAAAATTTTTAATTCAGTAATTTATAGATTTAAATATTCAACTTAAACTCAAGGGTAAATGTTTATTTTGCATGTATATAAAATATGTATTATTATTAAGCATGGAATCCATTATAATTCAAGGCATGGAACACCCTTGAGCCCATTTTGAAACTGTAAGTCACATTTGCTATGAATACTTCAGAAATATACATATGTTACACAAATTAATAAAAACCCAGAGACAGATATTGGAGTTCAAGCTGAAGGTCAGCAAAGCAAAGCAGTCAGCCACTAGCTCTTACTGAGAGGGTGATCCTGCCTTCACGAATCCTCACAGTACAATGCTCTCTCCATGAGTCCTCAGAGACAATAGCTCTCCCTGTCTGAACACTATATCTCCACATGAGACCTTTTTGTTCTTCCTTTTATACATCCCTAGTGCAGGGATTAAAGGCATGTGATCCCAAGTGCTGAGATCACCTTTGAATGAGCTGTTTCTGTTTAGGACTGGATCTATTTCATGTAGCTCAGGGTGGCCTTACACTAACAGAAATCCATCTGCCTGTCTTTAAGTCCTGGGACTAAAGTTGTGTGACACCACCACCTAGATATATCTATGACTGGCTAGTGTGGCTGCTGGGATTAAAGGTGTATGGTTATATATTATTTATGCTATATTACAGCTTGCCTGAGGATTCAGAAAGCAAAGTCAGCTACAAGCCATAGGCACATACCTTAAATCCCAGGATTTAGGATTAAGATGTAGATGGATCTCAGTTAGTTCAAGGCCACAATGAGCTACAAGAAATATATCTAGTCATAAAGAGAATAGCTCACACAAAGATGATCTCAGCACTTTGAATCACACGCCTTTAACCCCAGAACTCATGAGAGGTATTTAAGTCAAGAACAGGGTCTCAGAGGTGTCATTTATTCTCTAGCCACATTAAGGATAGGAAGACATTGAAGTCTCAGGATTCTCCAGCCACACTGAGGTGAGCATAGCAATCTGGGATTGCAGTCTGAGGGAGAGGTTTGCTTTGTTTTTTGTTGTTGTTGTTGTTTTGTTTTGTTTTTTGACCTTCTGCTTGAAGCTTGAACCCCAATATCAGTCTCTGGATCATTTATTTATCATACTACAAAGGTGTGTATCACCACAGCCTGACCTCCATGGCTTGTGACTAGCTTTGCATTCTGAACCTTCAAGCAAGCTTTATTAAAGAGTAAATAATATATCACTACGCACATATGTTGTATCTTGATATCATGAAGAACAGAATAAAACAAAACTGTTTGCAAACACCTAAACTCATGCCTTCCTTGATAAATCACCACTTAAAACACATTGTCATATTTGTTTATAATTTGCTGCTTTCTAGTCATTGAAACTGGTCCTTAGAGAAGAAAACACTAGACAAAGTAACTTTGTAATATATCTAAAATTATTTTTTTCCTTTTACTTGGAGCTAACATTCTAGTGGCCCACAAGATGAATGTGGTCACTAATGGATTTTGACTTCACAACTGGGTCTTAAAGCTGCATTAGAAATTGGGTCATTGTCTTATCAAATTTATTTCCACTGTGTACAGTCCCCACCTGTCTCATTCCAGTATCATTCCCTTTCTGTGTTATATGCTTGATCTTTAAAGATGATCAGCTTCTTGGAGCCTAGACTTGAAATTCTAACTAATCTGAACATTATTTCTCAAATTACTCTTTCTATAACATCAGAGGACCTTGGAATGGCAGAGACAGGATGACATCTTAGAGTTTAGATACCTTCTGTCATTTCTTCCAAAAAGACAGGGCCACATGAATATAACAACTTCCACATGTTTAAATGTGCATGAACAGTTCTGTTAAAATTCTCTTCCAACTCAGTAAAGCCAAACTCATCTAGTTTAAGGTTTTCCTGTTTTGTCACACACCAGCCCCTCTTTCGTCATGAACACTCACCCCTCAGTGCAGGCAGCAGGGATCTCTCCTTCTTGTCATCACATTTGTTACACTCACTGAAGTACAGGAGTAGGAAGACATCAACAAGGACCCACATCAGCGAAGTGGCGAGAACCACCTTGCAGTAGACAAATCTCCTCATGCTTGATTTCTAGTGAACACAGGGACTAGAGACGAATATTCCTGAGATAAGTCCAAGCCACAGAGGTGAACTCCAGGACAAAAGCAGGATACATCCCACTGCATCAGAACAAAAAAAAAAGAATTGTTATTATGATGCAGGGAGGTTTTGCAAAGAGGATCTAGAATACAAAGTAAATGAATTAGTTCATGCTCCCAGATATCCAGCATTGAGGTCTGCAAATGCCCAACTTAAAGCCCCTCAGGTTTTAACATGCTAGGTAGCTAAGATTCTAAGACATGGTCCCTGAGGTCTCACTGCACTGCTGAGTGGTATTTTGACAAACTATTTGATATCTTCAAATGATGTTGACTTTACACCTTATCATGCTGTCCTATATAACACTAGGATATCACGGAGCATACTTCAAGTTTACCGATAGAATTCTTTTTTCTCTCTCTCTTCCTTTTCTTTTTATTTAAAAAAAAGCTTGTTTCACATGTCAATCCCAGCTCCCTCTCCTTTCCCTCCTCTCCCATCCTCCCCACCAGGCCTCCCAGTCCACCACCCAGTCTCCATAGGGAGGGTGAGGCCCTCCATGTTGGATCTCCAGAGTGTGTCATTTCCTCCAGGGCAGAGCCTAGGCCCTCCCCCAAGAGTCCAGACTGAGAGAGCAGCCCTCATTGTGGGATGGGCACTCAAAGTGTATTTGTATGCCAGGGATAAATACTACCCAAGGCCCAATAGATTACCTAGGCCTCCGCACTGACACCCTGCCAAGCCAATATGGTATTGAAAAGAAATCATCCTGAAATAACAATGTTCCACAGAGGCTAAGGGCTGATACTTACATATGAGTAACTCTGAGCCTGTCAATTGATAATACTTGGAGACCTTCCCTGTCTCCGTTTTTTTTCTAATCTGTGAAATAAGCATAACAATGGCTCATCTAAAGATTTTCTAGGATTAATTGTGGTTAAGTTTACAAAGGGTTTTTTGTGACAATCATCAGTTAGCTGGGTGGTAGTAGCAGTTGGACATGCCTTTAATCCCAGCAACTGAGACACATAGATAGGCAGACCTCTAATTCAAGGACAGTCTGGTCTACAAAGAGTTTTAGGAGCAGGGCTACACAGAGAAACCCTGTCTGAGAAAACAAAAAAGGAACAAAGATTTCAAAAGGGGATCCTAGTTGTGCATTGTAAAAAGAAAAGAGCTACAAATCCTGAAAGACATGCAAAAATATAAATTAATGAATTATACATATTTATTTATGCATATTTCATTGAGAAATAACTATGTAGCTAGTTTCTGTATATAAAACGCATCAGATCAAAAGTAATCTGGTATCATTTTCTACATAATAGCATCAAGTATGGATCTGAATGGCAGTGGTGATGGAGAGGAACCGAGAGGAGTAGAGACAGGAGAAATCATAAACAGGATATATTATTTAGAAAAGAAATCTATTTTTAACAAAAGGAAAAAACTTAGCAACCAAGTAAGGAGTGCTTGGTTAGCATGAACAAGGACTTAGGTTCAATTTCTAGTACCAAAAAATAAAAGAATAAAAATCTAGTAAAGTATAAATTGTTAGATTTAAGATAAATAACATTGTTTTGGCAGAGATACTTTAAGTAAATAATATTAAATACAAAGATAATTTATATACTCCAACAAAGTATATTTTCTAATGTAAAGAGCTCTTTCAATTTATGTAACTGATTAAATAGAATAAGACAACAGAAATGTTGCTTGTGACAACCAATGAAAACTAGTCACACATTCAAATCAACAATGTGAGAGTTAAAAAATAAGTGGAGCAAATATTCTTTTTTTTTTCTTGTTTTACATGTCAATCCCAGTTCCCACTCCCTCCCCTCCCCTACCCCCACCAACCTCATATCCCATCCTCTTTCTGCTCCCCAGGGAGGGTGAAGCCCTCCATAGGGGATCTTCAGAGTCTGTCACTTTTGTTGGGATTTTTGTTAATTGTTTTTTGAGAAGGGCTTTTCTGTGTAACAGCCCTGGCTATCCTAGAACTCTGTAGACCAGACGAGCCTGGAATTCACAGAAAACCACATACCTCTGCACTCAAGTACTAGAATGAAAGATATACACCACCATTTCCAGGCTAAGATTTCTATTTCAATAGCAACATAAATTTTTTATATATTCAGATATAGGTAGATAAATATTTGCCAAAGGATAGATATAAATTATGTGTGCAAATAGAAAAAGTGCACAACATTTAGAGTTTGTTTTTCTTGGAAAAGACAAAGTTGGAGTGTTAATTACCTAGTAGATTTCCTATCTATTTGACTTTTCTATAAAAATGAAAGCTAAACATTAGAACTCAGCCTCCAGTCCTATTAACCAGGACACAGCTCTCTTACTAGTATTCCTGGCACTGTGTGAGTATTCCTAATCCTGTGATAGATAACAACAAGTCTATAAATTTTTCTCTTTCTTTGACTTTAAGATAAAATTCACCACTTCAATTTATTGTGAGAAAAAAAGAATCAGCTCAACTTCCCTAGTAGAAACACCTTACAACAAATGATCTAAAGAAGGGAAGATCACTGTGAATATATGTCCTGAGGCATCTCGTCTCTCTGTGCACCTCATTTTTACAGATAACAGCTTTTCTGCCTTATCCACCTCAAAAAAAGTTATGAGGCTCAAGCAAGATGGAGGAGAATTTTTTAAAGTATGATTATTATTATGACAAAATCTGAAATAGTGTAATATTATGTATTAAAACTCCTAAGATAAGTCTTTTCCTAATAAGAGTCTAGCAATTGGGGTTATGAAGAATTTAATTTCAACTTCAGTTATGATAGAAAGTCAAATCACATCCTATTACTACTTCAAGAATTATTCAAATTATCCTGTTTCCACAGCCTGTTAGATTAGCATGCCAAGAGCAGAGGGCTAAGAGTTCAACTCAACCATTTCAGTGATAAAATTTACTTGTTGTGTAATCTTGTCTATTTATAAGACATTCTAATAGTATCTACTTCAAAATTTTAATTCTGTTTGTAACTTAACTAAATCTCTACCTGGAAAACAGCCTCTTACCCTCTGGTACATGTGGAATGATTGTTTCATGTATTTACTCTAATATTCCTTATGCAAACAAAGCTGATCAAGATGACAGTGTGCATGACAACTAGCCAACATAAGCACAGTTGGCAGCCTAGGTTTATTTAAGAGAATCAGCATCTGTATTGTTTTTATTCCAATATGCTCAGACTTTATCTGCAAATGTTATTTTCTTTCTTAGAGAATGAAGAAAGCAAACTTCTGCAGCATCTCTGGCTGACTGATCCAGCAGGGAGCATTAACTGTCTTTACAAACAGGTTCATCTGGCTGTTTTCCTAAGTCATTCAAAGATCTTTTAGTATGATTATTTCCCTATTTTAAAAAATTGTTTCTTATTTTTCTTTACAAATAATTGAGATGGAATCTCATAATATATATACTCTGTGGGCCTTGATGTTACAGTCCTCTTGCCTCAAACTCTTGAGTGCAGAGAATTTAGAACAACAGACACCATGCTTAGCAGCATTTTTGCCTTTTCAGGTGTTGTTCAAGGTAGGAAACTTTTAAGACACAAAAAAAAACTATCAAGCACCCTCTTGTAAGTCCCATTCCCTTCTTTCATACCACACAAGTATTTTATACAAGACACTGTGGGACTTTTACTTAGAACTATGCAGTATTTTCCTACTTTTATTATAAAAATAAAATCTAGATAAAAAATAGGGAAGTCAGCAACAATTGTATTATGATAAGGGCAAAAGTCTTGTGAAGGTTTGGTTGATTGGATTTGTTTTTCAACCAGAAGGCTATTATTTCCCTGGAGAATCTAGCTTAGTTGCTATTAGGCATTTTTATCGGTAGGCATATATTCTCTTTAATGGAAAATTGCATAATGAGAGAAAATTTTTCAATCTATTTTATGAGGCTGTACTTAAAGATGAAAGAGTGTTCTAGATGCTAGTTTGAGATTGCTGATTGAGCTTCCAGAAGTTTCAGACTTTTAACATTGTAGAAATCTACAAAAGCATTGTGAGTGAACATACAATTATGCATATTTTCTTTGTAGACCCATAAGTCCCGTGACAAGAAATCAAAATTCATGCTGATTTAGATCCCGATATAGTTGAAAAAGACTGGCCCTCGGGTGGCTGAAGATAAAAAATTAATACACATCTGGACAATCCACTCACAGGCAAAATCACTAGTCTTAGAAACTGCACTATATTAAAAGGCATATACTGAAACTCAAGGAGGACAGCCAGGGTAAAATTAAAAGCATGTCTTTTCAGCTGACCAGATAAGGGGGAGCCCTTGAATCCCAGACTGATGGCTGAGAGACCAACAGGGGACTGATCCAGACTCCATGAAACTAGTGTCAATGAGGAGACCACAGAAATCACTGGGGTCTTGGGTAATATATCAGTGTTTGCCATGGGGTATGAATGATCTTTGGGAGCCCATTCCAAATAGAGGGATGCTCTTTCAGCCTGTTCATATGGAGAGGGCCTAGGTACTGCCCTGGATGAAATGACAGACTTTGGAGATCCCCCAAGGAGGGCCTCACCATCCCTGGGGAATGATGTGGGGATTGGGTGGGGGAGCTGGAGGGGCTGGTGGAGGGACAAGGGAGGAAGGGTGGGAGAGGGAGCTGGGATTGACATGTGAAGCATTCATGTTTCTAATTTAAATAAAAACATATATTGAGGAAAAATAACATGTTTTTTGTGAGAAGATTATGGAGTAAAATGAAATAAATGTTTCCCTACTTGTATCTGAGCAAAGGGAAAATAGGTCATAACAACAAATTCAACCAATAAGAAACATCTTAGCAAAAGTTTGGTGTGTGTGTGTGTGTGTGTTTATGTATTCACTTGATTTTTCTGTCTACAAAACATAAGTAGTACCAGCTGACACAATAATAGTGAGATAAATATGAATGGATTAAGGCATGGAAAAAACTATTGCCAAGTTGTCTGTGACATATATTAGCTAGTAGTATTGATAACAGTAATATTATTTTCAGTACTACCATCAAATAAGGGAAAAGACATGAGAGCACTCATGAACCCTTGC